AAAAACTTTCTTTTTTTTCTATTTAATTTCATTTATCTTAATTATAAATATCTGTTTTATTATAGTATGTAAAATATAATTGCTGCTTCAATATGGAAACATATTATAGATAGTACACATTAACAGAATACAATTTTATATAACATTAAATTAAAACTAATGCTTATTAGCTATAAGTATTTAATTTAATAAATATTGTTAAAAACATGTGCCATTTTTATTCAGTTGAAAATACTGTTGAGAAATATGGCTGTGGCTGATTTATTTTGCTTCTGTTATTTTCTGATAATGACTGTAGCATGTTTTGGTTTTTATTTTCAAACCCTTCAAATCAAACAATAATTTTTTTTTAACCTTTCAAATAAAACATTTAACTTTTTTTTCAAGAAACTATTTACAATTTTTATATAATCTCTTCACCTCCCTCCCTCCCATTATTTCTTTTTAGAATCTTTAAGTAGTTGTTTATTCTTTGTTAAATGTATGGCATATTGGTTACTCGCAATATTTTGAAACTATTAAGTTGTTTAAAATTAACTGTTTCACTAGTTTTTTATTATATTTATATATATATATATATATATATATATATACCACTATATTAAATTTTAGATCTTATTTTACATGAACATTCATTGAATACATTGTGTGTTTGTTGTTCACTAAATTTGTTAAATCATCTAATGATAAAATTTCAGTACCTGAATCGTTTTTGAAATGAGTGCACAAAGTGTAACATAAAAACGTTTATTACTGGGTTTGTTTATTATAATGTCTTCCTGTTAACTAAAACTCAGGAGGTTGAAACTGCTAATTCAGTATTACAGTTATAATAACATAATACTAGAGACCATATAAATTTTAGCTTATATTTATGATGACTTTCTTTTGTGCCAGAAAGGAATTTAAAAAATATTTTACGAGATCAGAACCAAAAAGGTGTTTGTTATTACCAAATTTGTAAAAAGTAATATTGATTATTGTCTGGTCTAGCATTTCATAAATTTATATTTTAGATTGAATGAATGTAAAAACCAATAAATAATTTTAAAATAGTACTTCTTTATTCTTCTTCCGCTTTTTGTGGAACAATGTGATGTATTATATCTTCCTGTTGATTTAATTTAATGTCCTTTTATCCAACTTAGACTTACGTATTATTAACTTTACTTACAGCAGGAGTGCCTGAACCAAGTTACACCACGCTTGCCACATGTTGTACACTCGATGTATGCAACTGGCAAATGGCCGGCCTGTAGATTTTAACATTTTTTTTTATTCTTTATTTTCTATTTACGAAGAAATTCAGGCTTTCTTTCTTCTATAAAATGTTATTTTAGAATCGAAATTGTTTGATAAATTTAACAATATTACTATCCCAGTTAAAATGTGTAGCTATAATTCTATAGTTTAAGCAGCTTAACCTCTGCTATTGCTTTTAAACTTTTAGAACCCATGCCACTGATGTCGAAAACTCAAGGTTTGCAGACAACACCTAAATACCCTCGTTTCTTTTAATGGCATGGCATAACCTTTTAATGCATGAGGATACCCTTCATCAGCACAACGACCACCAACCTATCTGTTTATTTAACTCCTAGATTGGTAACCAAGATCTTGAATTGTCAAAGATCTTGCATTACAACATCCCTTCTTCAGACTACCATGTGGACGCTAATCATCTGGGATATTAATGTATATCTTATTCACCAATCTTTTTTTTCTCATCCTGATAACTTGGCCGAGCTGTTTTAGTCTTTGTATTTTGATGTGAGAAATGTTAATTTACTTAAAGAGTTTCGACAACAAGCTGTTTTCACCTTTGGGTCCTAGAATTCTCCTCTTAATTACTCTTTCAAATAGTCCAGCAGATTAATGCCTTCATTGTTAAGGTTCCATGTTTCTTCTCCTCATGTAACTACTGTTTTTTTTAAGAGTCTTGTAAACCCTAAACTTGGTGATACAGCTTATCTCTATGCTCTAAATTAATCTTGAGATTGATAAATAGGCTCTATTCACTTTTGCAATGTTTCTTTAGTTACTAAATTATTTAATAAAAAATGTGCACGGTGTTCTTTACCTGTTGGGCACAGATTTAATATTGTATTTTTGGTACCTCATAAAGAAATCTTGTACACATGATGGTCTACTTTTATTTTATTTTTTTCATTGTATTCCATATGAAAATTTGACCAATCCTTTAGTTATAGTATTATTTAAAGACCCTCCCGAAAATAGGAAAATATATATTTTTTCATAGGTTTATATCTCTATTTCTATGAGTGATTTGAGTACTTAAGCAAAAGTAAATTTTATTTTCATAATTAGCCAATAGAGGCCAAGCAATAATGAATATACTAGAACAGTAACAGCTCAAACTTAGTTATAATAATAGTTCTAAAAACTGCCACTTGAGACCAGCATCATCCGACAGATTTATTAGTAATACTTTTTACTAAAAGAGAGGAAAGCACTGTGGAATCTTGAGAAATATTTCAAATAGTTCAATTATTTTCTGAGCACTAGTACTCTCCTGATATAATTTTTAAACAACTTCAAGATAATTCATTTCACCATAAGTTCTAAAAATTACTAACCAGAGGCCTGCACCATCTGCCAACCTGACTCATTTCTGAAAATTTTACCTGTGAGTTCTTACTCTCTTATTATAAAATAAAATATTTAACTTACTGGTTGAATTTTTGGTTTCAATAAGGAAAGGAACATAGTTGGAGGGTTCGCGGATTCCGTTTTTAACAGCTTTAAAATTGATTTATGGGTGGTTCCATAACTTAACAACGATGAAGTGGGGCAAAGAGCAGCTGAATCTATCCATGGGAGCTATGGTAACGTGGAACAAATGTCTAAGAGAGGTTTGTGCCCATGCAGGTCAAAAAAAACAAATTGGAGGGCCTAGCAAAGTGGTTGAAGTAGACGAGAGTCTTTTTTTTTAAACGAAAAAACCATGTGGGGAGAGTTTTACCTCAGCAATTGATGTTTGGTGGAGTTTGCCGAGAAACAGATGAGTGTTTTACCGTCAAAATGACAGAAAGGCAACAACCTTAGAAGGAATTAAAGACAATATAGAAGAGAGAACCACCATTTATTCGGACTGTTGGAAAGGATACAACACCCGACAACTGAACTAAGCAAACTATAATCATTTCCAAGTGAATCACCACTATACTATACTCAACACATAGAACGATTATGGGACTCAGCTAAGTGGAGAAATAAAATACATAGAGGAACTGCCAGATAACACCTCGATTCATATTTATGCAAATTTTTGTGGCGGCGGGTTCACAAAGAAGAGAACCCAACCCGTTCCTCGCTATTTTAAATAGTATAAAACTATTTTGCGTACCAAAATAAATAAGACAAATTGAAAATAAATTGTATATATGTCATTTATAGTATTTATATGTACATATGTTCTTTAAGTGTTTTTTTTATTATTTCATTTTCATCTTTTATATGTACATATGTTCTTTAAGTGTTTTTTATCATTTCCTTTTCATCTTTTATATGTACATATCTTCTTTAAGTGTTTTTTTATTATTTCATTAATATATATGTCGTAAAATAAAGTGTTTTTTTTTTTGTTATTACATTGGTTTTTGTTTCTGTTTACAATTTCAATAAAAATAAAAAAAAATTAACTATTTATTGAAAATAAAGTTTCAAAATATTAAGAAAACTGAAAAATTAAGAATATCCCCTTTATAGAGGCAGAGTATGTCTCAGAAGAGTCTTCCTTCCAACTCCAGGATCCATCCATGTTAAAGCAACAGAATAAATAATTACCAGCTGGAAATCAAACCCAGTAAGCAAATCATAGAACAACAGTGCCTAACTCACGAAATGAATACACGATTTAATGAATACATCTATGAGATTTAATGAGAAACAATTATTACAAATTAAAATAAGTGGGCCAATTGTTTTTCAATGATCCTACAAATGCTAAAGTCAATAGTCAACTTGCTTTTTAAAGATACCGTTTGAATTTGATGATAGAATAAGTAGAATTCTTTAAAAATTTTACTATTCTCTTCTTTAACCATAATTATTAATTTTAATTTACTTTTCACTTATATTACTTAAACTGGTGGTAAGTTTTTGTGTCATGATGGCTTAGAATTAAGAGACAATATTATAAATGATTATTCTAAATGTATTAGGATTACTCTAAATAACCTAATACATTTTCATTATCTAGTATTTATGAGACAGCATTTAAAAATATTAAAAATGAAAATGTGATGTGACCTGTATGAACCAATTATATTAAATGGCATGTGTTAAAGTAGGTATTTATTTTAAATATAAAAGATAGTTTCTTTTTCTTGTTAAATATATAATAGCTAACATTCTTAACTGTAATCCTTACTTTTTACTTCATAAGTAATTCTTTTTTTATACAGCAATGGATAGTTTTTTAAAAAACTGAGCACACCCTCGAGATAGTCTTCTAAATGTAACACATGGGTAATGGTAAATAGATGAGGGACGTGCAAGTTCAGATTATATTATTTACTTATACAAGTGCAATTTTTATAAATGCTAGTGCTAGTATTTTTTTTTAATATATAATTGTTTAGATTACGGCAATATAAAAATTAAAATTTGTATATATATATATATATATATATATATATATATATATATATATATATATTATTTATTATCTCCTTAAGCGTCGCATGGAGAATTCTCCCTGCGACGCTTAAGGAGACAGCCCTGATGAAGGCCTGAACTTCAGGTCGAAACGTCGGCATATGTAAAAAATAAATATTAACATTTATTTTTGCCTTCCTTTTTGACTGACCACCCCAACTATTCTTCTCTTCATTATCCACGACAGTCAACCAGTTACCAATTATGTATATTAATTAATATAAAAACATGGCTGAAGATTTCTTTTAGTGCTTGCTGAAAGAAAAATATAAATAATATGAGGTTAGGAGAAGGAAAGGTTGGAGAAAAGTATAAAATAAATCTTTAGTTGCTTTGATACATGTTCTTTTATTACACCTTCTTTTTAATATTTTTTGCTGCCTATAGCTGGACTGGCTAAACAATACTGTTAAGTTGAAATGCTTTATGTTAATTATATAAACGACAGGTAATATCCCAGTTACAAGAAATTGACTAATAAGGAGCCAACTCCTTTTACAAAACCAAAGTGTTTTTTTATATTATTACAAGGTGGCACTCCAGACTTAGAAACAATCACCATACCCCAAAACAACAACAGGCATAATATATAATTATATTGATGTATTTATTTAATATTTATAATTATTTACATAGCTAAAAAATCTAATGACACCTAGAGACAAATATCTAATTCATTAAAAGGACGACATTACATTTTACATAAATTCAGCCGTCGGCTATGTCTGGAAGGCCACCGTATTATAAAGATACAATTCAATAATCCATAATGTGGTTACAAATAAAAGATGAAATAATATCAACTAACACCTATCTAAAAGGCCTCAATGTACACAACCAGTAGCTAACTAATCTTCAGTAATAAACTAATCTATTTTTCGATATTGATCTCATCTCATATTTTTTTTTTAGTAGAAAGAGGTACGCTGATTCAAACGACACATCTAGAGTAAAAAATAAAACAAGCACACATTTTTTTTTTTTTGCTTAATTAGGTTGCAATCACACTGCTCAAAACATTTTAGTTTTCTTAAAATCTAAGTGTAATATTACCATGTTCTTCAGAATTTATCTGTACACAGAAAAATTACATCAAGTGCGGATGTGATTGAAAAATAATGAAATTATCACAAGATATGCAGGTTTTGACTGAATCGTTGCATAAAAGGTTCCTGATGCTATTAAAATAATCTGCTTGACACATTAAAAAAATAAATAAATGAAAAATGCAGGCCAAGGTTAGTAAACAGCGACCAAATTCTTACACAATTGCATATTTAATTTAACAGTAAATGATTTTTATACAGTTAACGTTTTAAAAAAATCTATTATTTATTTCATAGTTTTTAAACAGACTAACATTAAATCAAAATGTGTTACACATTTCAACCATTTCATCATATTTTGCTTCAGAATTTAAATTATTTTTTATAACATAAACTAGGGTGTCTCTTAATGATACAATACTATCCAACTTTAAATATGCAACATATTACTTGAATTGAATCGGAAGAAATATTTGTATTACAAAGTTCATTTAATTGTATTAAGTAATATTTATACCAACAGCATTTGAATAATACAACACAAATTAAAAGATTGCAACCCAGCGCACCTTTTGCGATTCACATCAACACCTAAACATCGAATATTGAAGTGCACAAACTAATACTAAAAATATTTTCACTTTCCTAAAGCTACAACTTCTAGCATAGTTAACAAATTGTGTATTTTATAATTTACCACAAAACAGTGATAATTGACATTACAATGACACTTTGTGAATCACAAAAGATGCATATATAATCTTTTCAAAACTGCAATTTTAAATACGCTACTCGAATCCTATTGAAGTATTTTGGTTAATAGACACAGAATAGTACCAATATGCCCTATTAGCTTTTAAATTGTGTTTCGACAATAATTTAAGGTGTGAGGTAAATATTCAATATGAAGAAGAAGAAGAAGGGTTTTTCATTCTTAATTTTAATTCTCATCTTAACTCTATAATATTACGAGGCCGGGGAAGATATTTTTACTAAAACATCACAATAGCGGGTGGTCTACTTTCAACTTCTAATCGCCAAATTTTATAAGAGAAAAATATCAATCTATAAATAGACACTTTGATCCGGTGCGAAATACATCAGTATGAAACATCTACACTCGGAATTTTAAATGAAATCAATACACCGAAAACAGACAAACACCCACATTTATAATTTTTATTAATCACATTTATAATATAACTTTTAATTATATAATTCATATATTTCACAGACTGTTCAGCAATACGGTGATTAAGAGCTAATATATATATATCTAATTATTCCTTCTTTTTAGTCTCGATATTTGTATCAAACCTATGGGATATAATATATACAACACTAAAAATATATGTACATTTGCCTATGTGCTTAGTAAATATAAAGTCTATTATTTGTAATTGTTTTACATGCATTAACAAATTCAATAAAAAATCCAAGTATAAAAAATTATTATCTCATTCTAAAAATTTATTTATTCGAATAGAGACGGGTCTTCGAAAAAGAAAAAACAAAGTGATAACCAAGAATGAAAAAAAACTAATTTTAAACTTACTACGTATTAATTTTTTTTTCCCCCTAGCATGATAAGACATTCAATAAAAACGTGTAATTAATATCACGTGTTGAGGACACATTACACCAGCCTAATTTAGTAATTAATTAACTATGTACAACTTAAATGCTATTATATACACAATCAGTTATATCAAAGTTAAATGGGTTTAGAATAACAAACCTCTGAGGAATGAGCTTTGTATAAGCAGCCCATTACCACGCATGAGCAAAAAAAAGGTAAAAAAAAAATAAAATAAAAACTGAGCGAAAAGAGGAATGCTATGTTAAGCCTGTATTGGCAGTGGTACTGATCAGTCATCAATATTATTAAACAAAAACTGATTAGAAGTAAAACTAAACAAGAAAGAATGCCCTTCATAGGTATGCGGCGTTCTTTCATACTTGCTACATTGGAAAATCATTTAAAAGTGTTCTATTTTATTTTCTAAATGAATCTAGTTACCCTATTAATAATGTTAACTGTTTCAAATGTTAAAATTTAATTTTCTCATCCTCATGTTCATTTTTTCATTTTATGTTTGATAAAACTATACAATCTATAACAATTTTTTTTAAACATGAATACAACAAATTAATTCATAAATAAGTTACATTAATTTTAAATATTTATAAAAATGATTAATTCATATTATTTGAGAATAATATATAAAATAACTGTTATATAACTGTACGAAAAAAAAAAAAAATTTATAATATATATATATATATATATATATATATATATATATATATATATATATATATATATTTTTTTTTTTTTTTTTTTTTACTCAACGACTGGAAAAAACAATACTGCTTTTGAAAGTAGTAGATATTATTCAAACATAGATAAACAATTTTACTAATATGAAGAAATTAGTGAGAATTAATATCATAGCGAGAATACAAATATTACTATTTACTATTACAAATCATACATTTTAATATAACATAACAAAAAGAACAAAAAAACATGAACCTGATGATGAGAACTATAACTTAAAAAGTTAAAACAGTGTTTTTCATTTATTTCTTCAAAATGTTGATAGGAGAAAGCTGATAAAAGTAAGCAAAACCCCTCCTATTAAATTAGATAAATATAAGAAAATATTATGTTACTGATATCTACAAAAAAACTTTCAAAACTATAATAAAAATAGAATATTAGGACTGACTGATATTGTTTCGAACAAATAGTGAAAACAACATTTAATATTGGTTTCTAATATTAAAAAATAAATTTTAATAATTGGCAACAATTTTGGAAAATCATTATAATTTATACATATTTAGATTAGATTATTCATTATGATAAATCCATAATTTTAGGGTTTATATTTGATACTATATGTCCCTAAATTTTATTGTTTCTACCTAACACACATCTGGTTAAATTTAAATCATTTTTTTGTTTTTTTAACATGAACTTTTTTTTACTAATTTAAACATCAAGTCTTTAAGATCAATCAAGTGATTAAAAGATATAAGATTTTTTATCCCCCCCAAAAAAATATCTATACTCTAACCAACTATAACACTGAATTACAATCCATTTTCCAATGAGGCTCGTACAAAAAAAAAAAAGAAAAAAAGAAAAAAGCTCAGCATAACTAAAAAATGTTAAAACCAAATTGGTAAATACATGCCCCTAAACATTTCATTCCGAGCAACACCACTTTTCATTCATTATATTTTTATACTTTTTTAAAATTTATTTATTTTGTTCCATAATATTTTTCCCATTGCTTTTGTATTACTATCTTGATTTTAATACACTATTTAATTTAATAATACATTGTTTAAAAATGCAATTTAACTAATATCTACTAGAAAATAATACCATAATACGAATTATCTTCCACACAAAGAAGTGAATCAATTGGAAACCAACACCAGTGGTTATTCTGACTAATAAGTTTAAAATAATGAGATCTTTGGAAAAAGAAAAAAGAAGAAAAAAAAAGTGCGAATTGATAACAGTCCAAACGATCCAGGAGCAGTGAGCAAATAAACCCGCCTAAGAGCAATTAATTCATAACTACTTAATTCAAACTAAATATACACTTAGTATAGATGCATCTTAAACGACTCCCCTAAAAATATATTAAAATTAATAATTAGTAAGAAATAACCAAAGAAGTACTTAAAAATATTAGATAATAAACAATATATTATACTAATATAATTGCTAAACATGAGTACCGTTAATAGTGATCAATATTAGGCCAAATAATAACACCAATGTTTCATTAAAAAATTTCACAGCTATTCACAAAACTAACTAATGTACAATCAAAACTCAGTTTAGCAAAAGAGAGTTAGAATGTTTAATAAATTTATTAGGGAGAATGAATCTTGAAAGGATATAATTTTTTCCTTTTACACACTAAGCTAAATCAATAAAACCCCTAATTTTGGGCAAAGTCTTGTCTCAATGATCCTTTCAGCTAACTATCTACAGTACGCATAAGAGAAAAATCACTAAATTATTGACAAATATCTATGAAATATATTTACAACAAGTACACTGACGATAAAGGCATACAGTAATAATGTATAATAATTGCGATACACAGAAGAAATATGCTACATCAATATTAATATGCCCTGTAATTGGTCTGATAATTATAGTTATCATTACAATTAGTATCATAAAAGGACAGAGAAATTGCACTCATCTAGATACAGGGTAAGACGAGCGTAGCAGCTCTGATATGAAACCTTAATAATTTTTTTTTTCTCAATAAAATTTACAATGAAAGCACTTTAATAATTAATCAATAGTAGAAAGATAATAAGAAAAAAATTAATTAAGGGATGAGAGGATAAACAAAAAAAAGTCTTTTGTCACACACTAAGTGGCCTGCCCGACGATGGTAGCTCAACGAAATATCATCCTCGGTTGGAGCAAGTGTCACTCCCAGTGGTGTGGAGAGGGTGGTAGTTCGGAGGGATGCGCCACCGTCGAACTGAAAACAAAACAATTTAATTACTTCAACAAGTCATCAATAATAAATATAACTCTAAATTGTGAAACAGTAGGCCAAAACATAATATTTATATAATTTAATATATAGACTCTTATAATTGTATAAATAGGATGGTAAGTATTAGAATGTTTTAAATGATTTTTTTTTTTGTAATACTAATTCCTTTATTAGAATAATACAAATTAAATAAATGGGAAAACGTTTATTGGCAATTTTTCGTCATTTACAACCGTATAGCACAGAACTACACAAGAAAGACAACTCAACTCAATTCCTATCTACATATTTTTTTCTATTGGAAGCTATATCCAAAAAACATTCATAACCTTCACCCAAAACAATAGAAATATCAACAATGCCGGCCTCAGGGGCATTTGTCTCTGGACCACCGACCTAGATGAGCATCAGTTTAGGTGCCGATCATCAGGACCACTTACCACTTCTTAAAATTGAAATAAAAATATATATAAAAACCTATTAAAATTATTAACTGTAGTCTATTAATGAAGCAACTGTATTAGAGAAATACTGAATGAAATAAAATTCAAATATTACATCATATAAAATAGTTTAAGAAATAAATTTAATTTTTTTAGAGTGGGAGATGAGGTCATTGCCCAGGAGTGCCAAATGTCTTAGGCCGGCACAGCATATCATATCACATTATCTAGCAGCTACCTGTTGTTGGAACAATCAAATAATGTTGATACAAATATTTACGAATAGATCTTTGGCTTTGATACTATTCTTTCAAAACATAAATTTACAGAATAAATGACCAAGTTTTTACATATTTTTAAAATTTACAGTAAACATTCATACAGAAATATTCGTTAAATTGGAATTTCGCAGTAAACATTCATACAGAAATATTCATTAAATTGGAATTTCGTGGAAATTTTTTGTTCAGTAAAATAAAAACAGAGATACAGAGAGGAAGAAAAATATCCAAACAAAAAACACTCATCCAACTAGCCAATTTTAGAATTTTCTTATTGATATAGAAGCACACAAATTCTTCCCATAGATATTTTAATTATGGATATTAACTCAAAACAGTTTCTCATTCTGTTGAAATCCAAGTTATCAATAATTGATTGTAATATTAACTAATTGAAGACAAAATGACTTAATGTTAATTGTATATAATAATTTAAATGAGAAATGAGAAATAATCATTCTAAATCACTGAAAGTATAACATGAAATGTCAGTTTTTAATCAATTCTCTTAATTTTTTTCTATGCTGGAGTAGAAAACTGAAATTCTCAAAATTTGGTCAATTAATAAATTATGAATATATAAATACTGACTTTATATAAAAAACAGCCTATTCATGTTATACATACTGCAATGTATATGACTAATTAAAAAGTAAATCAATATTCCAATAATCCTCACACTGCCTTACCACTAAAAGAATAAATAAAGATAAACAAAATGCAAAAATAGAATAAAGAAAATCAAGTAGGAAAGTAAAAAAAATAATTTTATTAAAATGGAAATAAAGGTGTCCTTTGTGTGAAGGACAGAATATATTAGAAATATTTTATGAATTTAATCAGGTGGAGTAGTAAGGCAAGTGGGAGTGGGGAATGCTCAGTTCTCTTAAGTCGCTGAAACTCATGTGTTCCCAAAAGTAATTAACAACTATAATAAAATAATTAAAATGCCAAAGTTTGTGCTTGTACTCAGAACAAGGAAGAGAGCCATAACAAAATTACAAAGAAAATTGCTTTAGATAATAATGAACTTCAACACATAAAAGTATTTGGGCTCTTATAAAAAAAAAGAAAATGAATGTTTCTATAAGCTATTTTTTATTAATATGCATTGCCAATTAGTAGCTAAAATTGTCCATACTTTGGCAGCAAATTCACCAATAAGTATTGACAAATATATATGATTTTTTTTGGTTAGGACTTCACTGTTAGTAATAATAAAAACACTTATTAGATCGCATTAGTCCTATTTCGTTTTTTCCTTTACATCAACGTTTCAGTCCTAAGGACATTTTCAAGGTAAGATATCTTCAACAAACAAAACAATCATCACTGCTTAATTACATTTGCTGATTATAATAATATTATTTGTTATTATATAAAGGTTTTCAAACTAGTTTAACAATAAATGGAGATAAAGTAATAATGTAATTTGTTCTTTAAAATGTAGTTTGAAATGAATTAAAATTACATGTAAAGAGGGTTAAATAAACATAACCTTATGAGTTGAGGTTTTAGTGATAGACTAATGTTATTATGAACAGGGCAATTCAGCTTATATTAGGCTAATTTTATTTTAGAATAGGTATGTAAAGATAAAATGGAAAATGGAAATGATCAATGAGCAAATATTAGGCTATGATGATTGTTTTTGTTAAAGGTTTTTCCTTTTCTTTGAAAATGGCCTAAGGACTGATATGTTGGTGTAAATGAAAAAATTAAGTAGGACTAACGGATCTAATAAGTGTTTTTATTATTAATAATAACAAATTAAATAATTTTAATGAGAAAAATTACTGCTGTTATCTCACATTCAATCATCTTTTCATTTTCAATCACCAATAAGTAAAGATAATTGAAAACTGTAAAGTAAATGTTTCTATTTTAAATAAATATTACACTTCTGCAAAAATACATCATTTAAATAAAGGAAATCTTTCAAAATCTTGATACGAAACATTGTTTTGGATTTAAAAGACTTAGAACTATTGGGAACAAATACATGAATTTAAGAGCGATCAAAAGAGGTACTGAGGATTGGTGAATGAGCAATATATAGAGGGATATGTGATGTGTACCGTAGCGGAGGCTAGACAGCGTGCAGAATGCCCAGCTCGCTGCCTCCTCTCAGTCACTGACTGCTTTTGCCTTACCTGGCAAAGCTCTTGAATGCGGCCGATTGGGGGTTAATGCACAAAGGGACGCGGGTTGTGCCTATTTTCTCAGTTATGAACTTGTACATCTCCTCTGTAACATAAAACAAAACAATTTAAGTATACCATAACAAGTATTATTAACATTTTCAATAATATTGGGTTGGCAAATAAGTCCTTTCAGTGTTTCTGTTTATTTTTTTGTCACTGTGATACACTTGTTATCTGATGAATTAATTTCTAAGGTGGATTGTTTATCCTGTTTGTAATATGTCAACAACTATATCTTTTAACTCTTGTTGAAACTAGCTTAGTATTGTGTTTGCTATTGCACTATGAATATGGAAGAAAATATCATTTATTGTCAGCATATTTTTATTATTATTATCAGTATTATTTTAAAAAAGGTAAGCGTGCTGCAGAAGGTCATAGAAAAATTTGCTGTGTTTACGGGGATGATACCTTAACCAAATGCACCTGTCAAAATTGGTTTACCAAATTTCATTCAGGAAATTTTGAGATCAATGATGCTCAACGGTCTCCCACACGAAATTGAAACGAGCAATATTAAGGCAATTGTTGAAAATCCCACCGAATCAGTGTGACAGATTCATATAGCCCTAAATGTTTTGCACACAACTATAGAAAACTATTTTCACAAGCTCGGCTATGTTTCCAGTCTTAATGTTTGGGTCCCTCACATGATTTTTTTTTTTTTAAATCAAAAAAATGTAATAAATTCAATACGACTTTAGCTATCTACAAGAAATTTAGCAGGAATTTAGGGCCACATAAACTACATAAAATGACACCAACAGGATCTTCGTAAACAAACTACAAGTGGAGATAAAAAATAAAAACCTATAAGGGGATTTTGTTTATTTATTCCTTATGTAGGCATTGCATAAAAAAAACATTCATACGGCTTTGAAGAGCAATAATACAGCTTATCAACGGATATAGTAAAATCAAATTTGGAGAACATCCTGAAGAGTTATGAATGGTCGGAAGGGTGTTATGTTCCACCAAGACAACGCTAGGCCCCACACCTCATTGGTCACTCGCAATAAATTAACGAGCCTTGGAAGGGACCTTTTGCACCACCCACCCTATTGCCAGACCTAGCTCCAAGTGATTATCACTTATTCCGGTCTCTGCAGAACTCCATGAATGAAAAGAAATTCCAAAAGGAAGAATTCTAAAAGCATTAATTTAAAAAAAATCAGTGAGAACTTATTCAAAGTTTTAATAATTTATTCATCATTTATTAATAGTAACAATCCAAAGCTAAAATATGAACTTGAAAAGGCAAATTATTATTTTCCAAAATTATAATAAAAATAAGTTGTTTACGTAAAGTAAAAGAAAGAAATGTTTTTGTAAGAAACAAGTATTATTGAAGATATGAGTAAATGAAGGTGTTATTTTACAAATTTAATGTTTTAAGAAAATATGAAATTTGTTTTGTGTATTTTTTTAAATACTAGTTAAATTGAATCCATAAACATATAAAAAGCACATAACACCTTCATTCACTCATGTTTTCAATTGCGATATTATTTTTATATTGTAATAATAAAAACCTTTCTATATATGATAAATCAACAAGGGAAATTTAAAACAAACAGTAGAGTTTAAGCAATTCCAAATAAAAATTATTCTATTATGTTTTATTTCACTAATTCAGAAAGTCATTTTTAATGACAATCATGTTTAAAAAAGCCTAGCCAATTTAACATAAAAATCCTGTCTCAAATTATAACAAAATATAAACATATTAATTTATAAAACGATATAAATGATCTGTTATTTAATTTAGAAAACAAAAAAGATACATTATTTATATTCACGATCAGTAAGTAAGTACCTTTGACTTGCTGAACTGAAGTAAGCTTCTTTTCCCAGAGATCGTCAAAGATGCGCTGAGCAACAGGTTCAAAATCAAGAGTATACTGCCGCATCGCATTGGTAGTGGTGAAGCAACACTTGCACATACAAGAGTGATATCTCAAGCGCCCTTCATCAAGGTAAGGGTGGGCAAGGGCATCCACCACCGAGATACGTTTATCCTAAAACAAAAATTAATAATCACCCTTACTTTGAATAAAATTTGCATAAAACTTATATAAACTATATCGGACAGAGTTAATTAAATAATGCTTATTGATAAATAGTAAGACCCACTATAATGTTTAAATGTTACAATAAAAACAGAAATTTCAAATTCATGTAATTTCTGATAACTGATATGGAATATATAATTAACATTACTAGTTCCTAGCTATAACAATAAAGATATTACAAGACATTTCCTATTTTGCTTTCTCAGAACTGAAGTGACTGAAGTTCTGTATTGAAGCAAAAGGTTGAAAAATTTGTTGTCCTCAGAAGCAAAATTTTCATTCATGATTCATGTTTTAGACATCAAGGAAGACCGTTTAGTTTCAAGTCTGTCTGCCTGTGGCCAAGTCCAAGAGATAGATCAACTACCGTTATTCCAATTGGAGTGAAATTTTCTGCAATTGTGCAAATTAATATCTATAGTTCAACAGAAGTTAGATGACAGCCTGAGGCCGAACTCATGTGGCTCCAAGCTGAAAGTCAACTTTTGTTGTTTTCCTAAGCCTCTAATAATACTTATAAAATATTCACAAATAAATACAAATATTGGGTGGATCCATAAGATCGTTCGGCTTTTGAAGGGTGAAATAAAACAAGTTTTTTTCATGCAAAGAATAAATTTTATTCAATAATATATTCGCTGTTTTTATTATTGATCTCTTAACATCTTTTCAACAATTTCATTATTCCGCTCTGGTAAAACATCTGGCAATTAGAAGTGAAAAACTGATCGAGTTACGTTTTCACATCTCCCTCATTAGCATATGATTTCTTGTTGAGAGGATTATGAAGGGACCGGAATAAGTGGTAGTATGATTGTGGAAAGTCCTGGGAATACGGTAGGTGTAATAAAATATTCCAACCAAATTACACTAACTTTTGCTGTGTGATTATTGCAGAATGTGGTCTGGCGTTGTCATGGTGGAATACAATACCTTTGCGATTGATTAGTTCTGGAAGTTTCTGCCGCAATGTTGGTCAAATTCTGTTGGCTGCGTACAGTAGATCTTCGTATCAATTGTTTTTGCTTGTGGAAGCAACTCGTAAAACAGTATGCTGTGATAATTCCTCCTTATGGACAGTAAAATCTTATTTGGATGTAGACCGGCCTTCAGCATTACGCGGCTCGTCAGCAGTTGTTCACAATCTCCTGCGCACTACATTGTTGTAGGTGTTCCACTTTTCCCGTCACTATTCGTTTGTGAAATGGGTCACTTTCATGCTGGTTCAGAAGAGAGTTGCCGATTGGTATTCAGTTAACCAGATTTTCCCGTCTGTTTGTGTGGCACCCGAAAATTGAGATGGAACAGGTTGACAGCCAAATTGTTTTAAATATGTTAAAATGGTTCTAAAACGTATTTTCAGGATCTCCACAATATTTTGTATGTAGCGACCGGTCTTGTCTGATTAGAGCCTTGAAATCAATTGGATTAATCTCGGAAAGAAGCGGGGTGCATCTTTGAGACTTGTATCGTCAGAAAAAAATTTGGCAAACCATTTTTGAGCAGTATGTTTTGTTAAGGCATCCTCCTGTATATTTGGTGGGCCTTCGAAGCTCGCTTGCCTTTTTTGAAATGAAAAAGCAAAATATGCCGAAAATGCACTTTATCACTTGACATATTCACTACGCTGTAGCACAAACAAAACTAATTTCAATGAAACCAAACTCAATAGTTCCAAAGAGCGGACTTTGACCTTTCGGGTATCATTATTGTCAGATAAGGCAAAGAGCCTAATGAAACGTAATGAACTTATGGATTCATCCAATACATAATCTTCTAATTTATTTTAGTGAATATTTTTTATGTAATGTGGGAGGGAAAAACTAAATTTTAGTTTAAATTTATAGTCATATCATTTCACCCTCAAGTTGCCAATTAATAACTGTTGAACTATAGACATTACCCTATTAATATCATCAATCCCTATCAATTCCATTCACTTCACTGGATTTTTTTATAAAATTGTATAAAAGTACAATAAATCAATTCAGAACGATGTATTTTTGTAAACATTAAAATTGGTCACTTCACTTACCGGGTCAAATACAAGCATCTGACAGAGGAGATGTACAGCTTCATGTGTAGCAAGCGTTGAAAGAGTGTACAAAGCGGACAGAGCTGGAGGCTTGGATCTCAGCCGCATCATGTGCGACCGTGCTCCTTCGCAGGCGTGTCTCATGTCCTCCATTGTAGGGGTTCCTAGCAGATCAGTGATCAACTCCAACTGAAAAGAAAAATTCATTTTTCATCAAACGTCGACAGTTATTTTATAAATTATAATAATTAATAACATATTTAAGATAAATGAAAATAATAAAGATGAATAAAAACTGTCAAATTTTAAAGTAAAAAAAGATTTAATCAGCATAATATCTTGTGTTCGAAACATTCATGTACTAAAAGGGTTGTTTATTATCCATGGTGTCAGCCATCTCTAGATAAAGGTGAAAGGTATAATAAATAGGTTTTACCATGATTCAAACATACGTGGATTCGAACTTGCACCACTTTTAAGTACATTACATTAATTCTCCTTGTTTCAATATTAATCCATAATAAATTTCATCAATATCTTAAAATATGAAAAAAAAAAAAAAATCTTTTTATGAGGAGTGCCATACCATTTTGTCACATGTGCCAAAATTTTCCTAAGCCTAGTTTAGAAATAATTTTATTTTTACCCAAAAATCTTCCTCCCCATCCATCATGATAATGACAATTAGCAAATTTATTGTAATTTTAGAAAATGACATTTTAGGCATGTGGATGAATAGCAACTAGCAGCACCTCTTCCCTAATCTTAGTTTTCTTCCTTAAATCAGGAAGATCTCTCATCTAGCTCCTTTTCAGTCGCTTTCTGATGAGCATGTCAGTTGCGACCATATCGTTTGTAAGTGTTCACTTGTGTCTGTGTAGTTTACTATGAAATCACCAGTAAATAGTATTTATGTGCTAGTCGATAGTTGGATGTCATAAGCAGGCATGTAAAGTATTGTTGTTTGTGTACCAGGGAGCTGATGTTTTTAGTATTAAAATTTTAGATTTGAAATAAATTGAAAAATAAACTACATTTTCAAGTCAAAATCTTACAAAATATAAAACCTAATACCAAACGGATATATACATAAAATTATACCACTAAGTAAAGGATAAATGCACAAGATGAAATAGAATTACAGAACTTAATATTTATTTAGAGCTCTATAAATTGAGTTGTGATATGAGACATAATGAACAAGAAAATTGTTTAAAAAATATTATAACATTAACATAAAATTTTATACCTGGAGAACTGGAGATTGTGCCTGGAATAGGATTCGCCTGCCCAAGAGTTCACCAAATATACAGCCGACACTCCACACGTCCACAGCAGCCGTGTAGTGCCTGGCACCCATCAGGATCTCTGGAGCACGATAGTACTGTGTCACCACTTCTTGGGTCATGTGCTTTCCCTTGTCTGGTTCCTCAACCCTTGCCAGTCCGAAGTCACAGATCTAAAATTGGAAATAAGGAATCATCACAAAACATTTAAAACATCACCTTAAAAGTTAATAAGTATCAATTAGAGAGTGGAAATTTTATGTAACTTTTGTTCAGTCCTGAAGAAGTTTTTTTGAAAGAAAGTTTTTAAAATAAAATTTCTACAGAACATTTTTGGAAAACGTTTTCGATTTACTGTAAAAGTTTAACTTTTAATTATGTCATGGAAAAAATGAGAAATAAACATTAGGTAACTTAGATTACAGAAACAATTTCTCATGGATGAATTACCTGATTCTTATATTTCCTTTGTTTGGGTAACTTAATGAATAGCTCAAGATCAAGAGATAACTAATAATAAATTTCATTTATTTTATTTTCTTTTTTTTATTTCTTTGAAAAGCTGATTTTTTTTCTCTTCATGATAATGAAGAAAAATCAACTCTGATTTGAGGAATAAAAAAATATTACAAGTTGTCTCTCACTGTTACGCCCTATTCACAACTGTGAGATTGAGTTTAATTTAAGACTTTCATAAAAATCATACTTCTGGATTATATTTATCTTAAGTTAGATAATTCAGATCATTTCTGAAAGTACAGAAAGTGAAATTCTCTTTCATCTGTCAGTTTGTATGATTTTCACTCTTCTTTAAATATTAACAATTTTTTTTTTAACTATTCTGACAAAATAAAAATAAGAATGAGGTATATAAAAGAAGGGGAAAGTCTGGATTTAAATATTGAGATGTAGGAAACATTGTGGGTATGAGCTGGGTTGGAGTCCAGAGGGAAGCTTTTAAAGGATTAGGAAGGATTTGTCAGGAAAGCATATTGCTAGACTCCAGAACAGGAAAATATAGCTGTCAACCACCATACATGAGATAACAGGTAAATATATCTTTATTATATGGTTGTATATAAATCATTTAATTTAAATAATTTTTTTATAGTTTTAAATTTAAAATATCATACTGCTTATATCGAAGTCACTAACAATAAGCACAATTGTGATGGATATAAACTTTGAAGTATGTAATTATGAATGTTCGAAATATTAATCATTACGAAAACGAAGTGCATAAAAATAACAAGCTTATGTATAAATTATTAAGTATAATGATAATTTCATTAAATATGTTTTTTATCTATAAACAGAAGCAATTAACTATGTTCATATAATAACTGATGTACTTGGCTTCATATTAAAGACGGACATCTGTCATTTTCAGAAACAGAAGAAAAAAATCAATTTTTGTTTTATAGGTTCAACTTAAACTGCTTGTTATGATTTTATTTTGTAATGTACAAGTTGAATCATGACAAAAAATCATTAAAACTGGTTTAAATTGAAGGTATGTCTCAGAAATTGTTTTTCTCTCAACTTTTTAAAAAATGAAGATGTCCGTCTTTGATATGAAGCCCCATGTATATATACTGATGAGTCATATTTATATTATATTTCCGACTTTTCTTTAATTTAATTCAATTACAAGTAGTTAAATCTCACTTTTTACTTTCACTTATCTATAGGGTAAAATTATTAACAGCTGACAGCGTATCAATACTTGACATCCTCCTCGAAAAATGGGAATAATAAAATTTCAGGAACTCCTAGATTTTAGACATACATATATTCTTGTTTCTATATTTTCTCCTTGTATATTTGTCTGCTTTGCTTTAGTCTTGCCGAATATCACAACCAAAATAATGAGTGACAAATTAGGAAGGTCCCTCATGGTTCATCTATTGTTCCAGGAACAACCATCTGTCAGTAAGAGTACCACATCTTAGGTTCACCTTTTTCTGTTTAACTCATATTTATCCCTAAATTTTTGTTTGATTGTTTTTAAATTATGTTTTATCTGTCTTTAACTTATCTTTATGAAGGAACTGGATATTAATTGGGTGTCAGCTACTGGAGCCTTATAATGGAAACGTTTGGCAGTAGTTGACAGGTCTGTACTCACATAAATTCAAAGAGATATAATCAATATAACGGGTCTTAAATTCACTATTGTCTTGTTAAAAAAAATTACTAATGATCTGGATTAAATATATAACAAAAATAGGTTCTCTTATTGCCAAAAATATGTTCTTTAGTGACCAGCATTTACTGATAAATTTAAATCGGGAAACAGAAGAAGTTAATTTTATAATAAGTTTAAGGTAATTTTTGTTAATCTTAAAATGAAGAATATGAAATTTAACGTGATTGCACCCTTTTCCTCATCTATTTCAGCTATAGCAACATTTAAAATCAAACAGTGTCAGATCCTGGTACAACAAAACTATTCTCTTAATTTTCAATTTTTTAAAATTTAGAAAAATGTTTCATGGATTTAAATATGTCTTCTTAAGGTGAGAAATAGTTCTATAAGATGAATTCATGACAAATATAATAACAACAATATTTTAGTTTTTACACGCAAAAGTTCAAAGAAATTCCCTTAAGCACTGATGCATTTATCCTAAATGAAAAATACAGTAATGGTCAGCGGTTCAGACCCCTTTTTATCAAATTATTAACATGCTACAAAAACTTCGCGAATGACTTCATTCTATCGTAACCCACAACTTTTATATTTACGAAAATTCTCGGAATTGGGGCGTTTTAAATTGGTAAACTGTCAAATAAAATAGTAATAACTCATAAACACTCAGTTATTTGTCATTTCAATCGTAAGATAATTAGATTACAAAATCGAGAAGAAAGGCAGCCTACAGAAAGGTAGACAAATTTTTATAGGCCACCATTTTCTCTAATTTGAGTTCAATTATCATACGATTCAAATGTTAAAGCAAATGGTTATACATGCATTTTTAGTACCTTATTAAGTTAATGAATAAACGCCTAATTTATGAGAAGTTTTGTAGATAAAAAAAGTTGTAGTATAGGATAATATAAGGCCATTCACGAATTTTTAGACGGATGTTAATATTTTGATAAAAAAGTGGTCTGTAACGCGGGCTATAATGAAGTTAGTATTGTTGGTTCGTTTTCGTAATGTGGCCTGAAAACAGTTTCCTAACTAGAAACTCGTGTGAAGCTGAGAGTAGTATTTCAAGTCGATGAATATTTAAAGCAACCACAACAGCTGCCATATGCCACTTCCAATCCGATTGGAACGAAACAGAAACTCGAATCCTGACAAAAGAAGTAGCGCCCTTGGCCACGGCCTGCTAAATACTGAATTATGCTAGGCAAAGATTGCGTGTTATCTCCCCGTCGGTTTGTTACCATCCAGTAATTAACCATTCCTCTGCCTCCCCTTCCCTCCCCGAGTAATAGATCATAGAGGGGTGGGCTGAAAAATTGCCTCGGTGGACGCCCTCTCTCTTCTTGTAATGGAACCGGGTGGCACCATCGCGATAAATACGGCTATTAAATATATCTTTCTTCACTGGAGGAGTTGACTATAAACCTTCAGCCAGGTTTAACATCCAAATGGATTATTCACGATGAGAAACGCTCATAAATAAAATGATTAAGAATTCATAAATGATATCAATACTTCTTAATCGTACCCCCTCCACCGGGGTTACTAAACATATTTAGATAATTAAGAATCTGTCATTTTCTTTCGGGAGAAGACAATGGTATTTATCTATTTTTTCCAGAGCTCAGCTAAATATATCAATGAATCTAAGCTTGGTTTAAAATAATAATGATATTTAAATGCTTATTTATGAAGACCGACTGCCGACTATGTTGGATTGTTGCTGTAGTTAACCAAATTATTTTTTTAGTTGTTATAAATGAAAGATAACTTCATAGAGTTGTTCACAGTCGTAATTAATACAAATTAATTTTATTAATATATATATATATATATATATATATATATATATATATATATATATATATATATACATATATATATATATATATATATATACATATTCACTTGATTTAATTTTGAATGATTTTATACCATATTAATATCAAGTTGATTAGTTATTTAAATGAAGATTAAAATCATAAAACATTGACAGAAATAGTAAAATCTGATGAAATTTACTTTTAAGTTTAAAATAATTTCATATTAATAATTAATTATTTTTTATTTTAGGGAGCTCAAAAATAAATCATCTACGGGACGGGACCGAAATGGTCTTAGTACTCCACTGACAGTAACCATCAACCTGAAAAACCATGTAATTATCATTACCATCAACTATAATAAAGTTAGGGACAAACTTTTAATTATATTGGTTCATACCAGACTGAAACGACAAGAAACCGCTCGATTTTTCTGATTACTTCATCACTTACTAGACAAACGCTATAAACTTCCAATTAATTACACAAGACTCATATACATGACTATAATAAGACCTATTTGGACTTACGGAGTTGAGCTATGGGGCTCCACTAAACCATCGAATTCCTCTCGTATCCAATCCTTACAATCCAAAATCCTTCGTAAAATCCTCAATGCCCCCTACCTACTTTGTTACAAATAAAACCATCCGTAATGACCTTAATGTTTCTTATGTTTCAGATCTGGCCCAATCCAGATACCTATCCTTCCATAATAAACTTCAGAATCTACCCAACCCTCTCGTTTCTATCCTTGCTTCCTCTTCAATTCCTGATAACCCTCCGAGGCGTCTGAAAAGAAGATGGCTCCTAATGTAGACATATCATCAGAGTGCTACCATTGGGTAGTTACTCATCAAGTGTTCTTACGTCATTATATTTATATGTTCAAATTTACTAGATGTACTTCTTTAATACAGTTGTAAATATCATTAAGAAATAATAATAAAAAAAAAAATGATATTGGAGTCGACTGTTCTTCCTACTGAGGACGACATATTACCCTACCTAGATATGATCGTGGATAAAACCGTTATATACTTATAATACGGGGGAGAATTAAGATAAAATAAAAAGACGATTATGTTCACCGAAACGTGTTTATAGATTGAAATGTCGACAACGGCGACCGTTCAGAGCTCCCAAACCGAACGGAGGCCACCCCAGAGATGACAAAAAGGACCACCCATAGGCCCAGCACAATGGGAACATATCAATCCATCAGCAAGGGAGGAGGATGTGGAGCCATGTCGTGCCTGGACATTGTCATCACGAGAAATGACGGGTGTGTAACGGTCTGCCGAGAATACTCGAGGAACGTACATACGAAGCAAGCTCTAAGTTTAGTTTTAAGCCACCTCTGAAGTTTTGTTGGACTGGGTACAATCCTACGCTTCGGTTGTAAATCGACAAGCTTGTTCCTGATGACTGACATTGTAAATAAATCTCTCGATATGATAGGTATGTGTATATGTAAGTTAGTATTGTAGACAAACTATTAATAATAAAAAGCTGGATAACATTGTGCGAATTATTGTCAAATTCCTAGATAGTATATATATAATCCAGTCAAACTGTATTTTTTCAATTGCTCACCCCAATTCAGAGAATTTTCTTTAGTAAAAAAATAGTTGCGTTACAATGAGATTAAGCCATTCACGAAGTGTTAGGCGGATGTTATTAATTTGATAAAAAGGGGCCTGTCTGTACCACGGACTAATATGTAATGCCAAACAAATCTAGATTCAAGGCAATTTTTATTACACTGGTAAATAGAGGAAACTAATGCATCAAGAAGATCCTTTTTGTGTATATACAGATGTGTTCAATATTTAAAACATTTATAGAAACTGTTTTGATGGAGGATGGCAGTCTAATATATATATACAGTATATATATACTATCCCATAAGGTTAAATTGTAGTTCAACGTAATCTCCTTGAGGCCAACTGGGATATTAATACCCGCCGATCCCTCTTGGAGGTCGCTGCTGTTCCTCCGGCCAAGGCTCATTTTTGCGGAACCAATTGCCGCAGGTGTCACAGCCTTCTAAGGACATGTCTTTTTTTCCTCCAAGAGGGGGGCTACTTTTGGAGGAAAAGAAGTTTACAAAGAACCATTGGGTATCACTGAGACAGAATCGAAGGAAATGAAAAGTAGCCGACAGAATAATCAAATGAAGCAATCTAAATTTTATTGCAGTTGTAAATCTTGATGCAATCGATTAAATTTTATTTTACAGGAATTCGAAAGATAAAAGAAAATTATGGGATCAAATAGAGCCAGTAAAACACGCAACGACGATAAGTCCTTCAATGATCGAAGGTTGAATTTATATTTAGTAAAATTCAAAATAACTCGTAAGATATGGAATCAAACAATTTAAAATAAGCATAATTATTCTCATTTATCGTTTAATTATTAAGAAAAAAATGTCATAAAAATAAATTAAATACCAATAATTGTATTCCCTAATACATACCCATCATTTACTAAAAAATATATTTTGTTTGTAATGTCTCTTTAACTATTAAAAATTTACTAGATATTTTTTTATACAGTTGTAAATGTTATAATAAAAAATTAAAAAAAAAAAAAACATTAAATACTTGATTAATCATGATTTGCTAATTTAGGAGCAGGCAATATCAAAATTAAACGTAGTTAATGTTTCTAGATACGTATCAAAAAATTGAATTTGTATTATATTTCTTTTTTACACTTTTTTTTACATTTATTTCTCTCCACCTTAAGGTAAGATTTCAGATGTCAAACGATATGTCGGTTTAATGTAGAAAGTCATCAAGTGATATCGTTAATCATTAAGAATTTGAATGAATTTTCCCAATGTGAAATAAGAAAATTGTCCACTTGTTGTAACTAAGTTTAATATATAAAAGAGTTTGTGTCGATTTGGTGTTGCACTTACTGTTTTTTTTTTGTCAATAAATATGTTTAAAATATACCAGCAACTTCCAAAATGTACTTATATTATATTATACTAGTGACGCTTGTTTCAAAGAGCTTAACTTTTTCTTCGTTCTTAACAATTTTATTGAATAACAATACAATCTGTCACACTGAAGTGTAAAAAGTATTAGGGCTACAAGTATTCATTCATACAATTAATACAAATTATATCTACAAAGAAAAAAAAAATATATATATATATATATATATATATATATGAGTAATAATAATTAGAAACAATGATAATGACAAATACATAATAATAAGAAGAAAGGAAAATAAATAATAAGTATTTCAGAAATAAAATAATTTTTTTAACACACATGCCATCCATACCTATGATGTATGATAACTTGAAAAATTAATTCTACTCTTTTCATTGGTACTAACAGTTTAAGTATCAGATAGATCTGTTCTTATTTATTGATATCTTTAATTAAATTTATAAATATATTTATTAATTAACCTTTATAATAATAATTACCTTCAAAACACAATTGCTGTTAACTAAGAGGTTTCCTGGCTTTATATCCCTGTGTAGGATTCGTGCCGAGTGAAGGTATTTCAGCCCTGCAATGAAAAAAATATATGTATATTAGTTTCATGAACCAATATTCAATAAGATGATTAAAAATATGATAATCATTATTGACCTTCCTAACGAAAGGAAAGGAACATATTGATAAGTAAAACATAATAATAATAAATTTATTGATTTGAATTAGTTCCATCGCCTTAAAAACTATGTTTACAATCGAAAGCTACCAAAGATATCATAGTCCGCAAAAAGAGTTGGGAACCCCAGAAAGGGTATTCCAAGTGTCCTGTGGGACCAGAGTGTAATATAATGAGAGGACCGGTTCCTGGAGGCCATCAAGAACTCGTTCTGTCCGTCTGCAGCCTCCCGTCTTCGGCGTCCCGAGGATCTTCAAGGCGGGGAGTGTGCCATGGCTATGGAAGACTGATCTTCTGTATCAAGGTAACATATCAAGGCCCTCGACTAACTAATATCAGGATAACACTGTGCTCATCCAATGCCAGTTGGATAATCATTGAAAACAAAATATGAGGAACATGAATTGCATCGATGAATCAAACAAACTTGAAAAAAATCATAAATAAAGTCTTATTTTCTCCCTCAATTTCGTTAGAAAAACAGATTAAATGAGTGATAAAATTTAATTGTTTCTTAAATCCACCTTCCGGCAAAGCTCTGGTTTGTCCGGTTTTCGGGTTTCTTCGGTTCGCTATTACGATCCCTCATTTCTTATTCTTATAATTATTTAATCATTTAGTTAAATATAATTATTTTTCATATTTTATATCTAAACACTTTTCATATCACGTTACAATGTGAAACGGATAGTTATATCAGTTTAAAAATCTTAAAGCTACTTTATAGGAAGAAATTTAGAACAATGGGCATTTAAGCCACGTCAGAGAAAATAAATGAGAATCAGATCTACCTAACATTAAAAACTGTTTAATTTTACACTGATATAATGAATTTAGTCAAACTCGTTAGAGCCCTACATGAAGAAAATTAAAAAAAAATTGTAAAATCGATTATATAAAGTAGTACTTTCGGTAAGCAAAATTTTGACGAAAATATTGCTGTAACATCCCAGGCATATACTTATCTTAAGTACGTAATATCAATTTCGTACTTTTGGTTTTCGAGATAGGCTGTTCACAAATTTTGAGATACCATGTTATTTGGCCTTAGGGGCCTTCATCTTCAAAACAGGTATATCCGTTGAAAACTCGGATTCGAAAATTTTTACAATCGCAATGCTTTCCCTTACTTACTATGTATTTTAGGTAAGTGAGAGTAAAAAAATACATTTAATGAAAACAGAAAAATCAGAAGCACTTGTAATCTAATTTCAACTAAAAATGTTAGTTACAACCATATGAAACCAGAATACCAAAATTCAAACCTCATAATAATGTAACTTCATTTTCCATATGTTCACTGAGTTTCTCGTGATTTTTCTGTTACTTAACACTCGCGAATGTAAGAGATTACTCTATACAGATTTCTGATGATAATGAATAACTTATTCTTACTCTTATTATATTTAAAAAAAATAAATTAACAAAATAACAAGTTCGAACATTAACTGGTTTAAATATATTTGAGAGAAAATCAGGGTACACTGGCTAAGTGGGCCAATAATTTCGTTAATCGGGGGCGTGTTCCTCTCCTGCAACAACACAACAACCGCAGCCAATTCCCAACATTCTTGCCGTTCCATCAACCGTGCTTTGTCTGGGAGGAGATTTCCGATTTCCATGGATCCTGCCCGGAATAGCTGGTTGCATTGGTGAATAAGGAATACTTAACAGAGAGTGGTACGCCTAATTTAATAATTAAATGAGTAAATATTTCTTTCAGCTACATCATTCATTTTTATATTAATAATAATCACACAGCAAACGATAAATTTTAAATCGATGATAATAATAGATAATGTTTGAGTTATTTTTCACGATGGTTTAAGTTTGTCATCTTTATTTTAAAATTTTAATACCAACTTTCTCACTTATTCCTGTTGAACAAATCCGTTACCTACGACTACACCTAAACAAACGTCTAGCTTGGAATCCTCATACCAGACTAAAACGACAAGAAACCGCTCGACGTTTCCAACGTTTCCAAAAGACTCATATGGTCATGTGACCATAATAAGGTCTATTTGGATTTACGGAGTTGAGCTATGAGGCTCCAACAAATCATAAAATTCCTCTTGTATCATATCCTTACAATCCAAAATCCTCAATGCTCCTTACTTTGTAACAAATAAAATCATCCAAAATACCTTAATGTTCCTTATGTTTCAGATCTGGCCCAATCCAGATACCTATCCTTCCACAGTAAACTTCATAACCATCCCAACCCACTTATTTCTAACCTTGCTTCTTCTTCAATTTCTGATAACCCTCCGAGGCATCTGAAAAGAAGATGGTTCAGCGATTTCCTAATGTAGACATATTATAAGCTACCAGTGGGTAGTTTCTCAACAAGTGTTTCATGTCATTATAGCCATAGTACAAATTTGCAAGACTAGTGCGAAAAATTCGAACAGCATATTGTTAAGTGATCAAATGCCAAGTTAATAAGAAAATAAAATAATGCAACGTATCATAAGATAAATAAATCAATTGTTACTTTACCGATAAATATAATCGAAAAAGGAAAAAAAAAAATTTAAAACGTCATTAATGTTTGGAACAAACAGTCTAGGTATGACGTCTTATCTATACTGGTCCTTCCTGACGGCTCGTGAATCAGTGAAGCTGTTGGCAGTAAGGCGGTTATAGGTTATATTATCATATCGGAGGATTGTTTTGATGATAACAGATCACCTTGATATGTTTCATTTCCTACTTTTTTTTTTCATAAAGTCAGGCAAAATTAAATGAAATGTTGTTTAATATTTAAACAATTTTTTAAACGACGAAGTAACAAGATTATTTATTTATTGATTCCACCAAAGGTATTTTAAAGTGAAATTCATATAAAATGTATTTCACGGTTATTAGTCTTTTTATGAACGCCACCCCGGGCCATCTCCTTTCCCAGTAAAATAATTAATATTTTTAATATAAGCGATGGCATGTAAATTTGCTATGTGAAACTTAAAAACGATTCCGCTACATGTCATAAAACCTAATTATTTTTTATTAGTTCTCATACTTATCACTAGAAAAAATCACAGATAATTGTAAAACATGGAAAATCTTATTTCAAATAATAAAGAATAGAGTTCAAAATTACTTTGAATTTCATGTTTAAACAATTTTTTTTTCTAATTCTTAAGAGGAACTTTATGAGATAGTCGATACACACATAAATCTCTGAAGCAATTCGACTCTTTCAAAGACCAACGGTGGTTTAGGAACGAAATTATCATAACATCATACGCAGGTATTTTTGCGGTTCATAAAATTCTCGTGCAAATGCTTGATAATTTTTTGAAGGATGGCTAAATTTCTGCCACCAACCACAATATTACAAAAACAAAAAAATAAAATAGAAATAGCAAAAGATTCACAAGGCCAAAAATCACTAAAGCTTAAACCATCTTTTCTAATATATGGTTCACGTATGTAATAAACAATGTCGTGTGCTAATTCACCACACAAGTTATACACAGAACGATCCTAGAATTTAAGAATGTAATTCTCATATTTACGCCATATCATATAATACGATTCCAGGACGTCCACACATAGGCCACAGATCTAAAGAGAGGAGTTATTGAGCGGAGAGGACTGGAGATAATTCCAGTATTATCCTGGAGTGATGGGAGCATTCGTTCTGGAGCGACCGCAAGCTTCTTCATCACAAACCCATCAGCATTTCTTTTACTCTTTACACCACCACCCCATCTTCATGTTCCTTCTAATGCCCTTTCTTTTTTCCTTTTATTTCCCACTCGTTTTTCAATAATTTCCACTCCTTCACGGCTTCCAGCCAGTTGGATATGTTCCTTACTTGTAGCAGTTTCCCTTTTCAAAGGCGTACTTATCCCAAGGTAAGTTTCGAGGAGAAATTCTGGAAATTTCTACTGCGATTAAACTCCTTACGAAGTTAATCTGTAACCTGAAAGAGAAATCGTTAATATATATATTTTTTTCTTTCGGGGGAAAAGAAAGCATTCACAAATCCTCATTCCTGTAATCTGCTCAATTGAACGAACAAAACAATGTATTGCAGGTTTATTGAAAAAATGTAATTAAGTGACATTTCATAACCTTAAATCACTTAGAATTTTGATCAATTTCTCCTTTGCAAAATACGGATAATATATATATATATATATATATATATATATATATATATATAAAGTTTTAATCATTTTAATTAACTCTTTGTGTTCTTTTTTTATCAATAATAAGGTAGAAATTCATATTTGAAAACTGGTGCTATGCAACGCTATGTGTACACTATTGACATAAGTGTAAATTTTTCTTGAAAGCAGATAATAATTCTGAAAACATAAACACCCCATTATATGACAATTAAATGGAAAAATATACATAACTCAAAATATTAATGTTAACATTTCAGTTTGCAGAATAATTTATATTTTGTAAATACCAAGACATAAATTAGATCTGTATTCACAACAATTTATGACCTTAAAAATACTCCAGTGTCCCTTTAAAATTACAAAAAAAAAAATACAAATTAGAAAAGAATAAAATTCAAAAAAAGATTGCTAAGGCTGAAGAAAAATAATTATAATAGTTACTATTGAAAGTGAGAAAAAAAATTAAGAAAAACGTCATTTATTAAAATAAACACTTGTTTCGTTTTTCCTTCATATCTATCTGATGTTATTTTTCCGAACAAAAACGGTATTAAATATTTAATTTTATTATTTTTAATTGTACTTATTTTTTATTAATTTGAGTAATGGATTTAGAATACGTTTGTCATGATTTTTCTATTCACACCTGTCACAGACGAAAGCATAAGCAAATATGCTGACAAGCAATGAAATTTCAGACAAGCGGAAGTATAATACCAAATAGAAAATATTCCTGGTATTTATATTCTT